GAAGCCAATATCACCTTGATACCGAAGCCAGGAAAGGAGACAACAAAAAAAGAAAACTACAGACCAATATCCCTCATGAATATAGATGCAAAAATCCTCAACAAAATTTTAGCAAATAGAATTCAGCAGCACATCAAAAAAATAATTCACCATGACCAGGTGGGCTTAATTTCAAAATATTAAAGGGTTACAAATGTTTTTGTTACGTTAATACCTTATATAATGCTTGAGTCAGGGCTTTTAGTGTGCCCGTCACCAGAATAGTGTTCATTGTATCCAATAAGTAAGTTTTTTATCCCTCAATCCCTCCCGCCCTCCTCCCTTCTTGGTTTCCAATGTCCTTTATATCTCTTTGTGCCTATGTGTGTCCATGCTTTAGCTCCCACTTAGTAAGAAAATGTGGTGTTTGGGTTTCCTTTCCTGAAAAACTTCACTTAGGATAATGGTCTTTATATGGTTTATATTTTATTTAATCTTTACATAAAACAGTATTAGGTATGTATTATTATACCACCATTTTATAGATGAGGAAAGCTAAGTAATTTACTGTTGGTCACTCATCAACTACAGAAGCCAGGATTCAAACCCAGCAGCGTAGCATCAGAGCCCCCAGTGCTAATCAGTGAGCTATGCTGCCTCCTTACAGCTGACAGCAGTGTGTGATCTGTGGACTCTCTCCGCAGGAGAAATGCTTGTAGAAATATAAACTTACCACAAACACATATGTATACACATTCCCCGCACGGAGTGTCTAAACTCTGGATCACGCAGGTTCTCCCACTATTCTGTGTTTGCCGCAGTGCTTGGGCTCGTGAGGGTGGAAAAGCTTTCAAAAAAACTTGGTAGGCCACTGGTCACCAAAGGAGTGTGAAGGGATAAAGGGACCCATCCCTTACCCCTTCTCTGGGCTCTGAACCTCTCTGGGTTTTATCCTCAGTAGTATCTTTTTTTTTCCCCTTTTTTCTCTTCCTTCTCTGCTTCACACTGTTCCTCCATGAGATCCCCAGCAGGCTCCAGTACTTTTTCCTCTGACCTACGCCTGGGCTGTGTCCTTCCTCCCCTCTCCTTTACCCGAAACCCTTTCTTCCCTCTGGGACAGTCCAATGGGTGATGTCTCTAGTCATCCATCTCCTATCTTGTCAGAATGTTTTATAACTGATCAATATGTACTTCTTTTCTTGTTGCTGACCTATAAACAGGAGTAAGCATTCATGGGAGAAGAGAACCAAACCTATGTGAATGAATTTGTCTTCCTGGGCCTTTCTCAGGACCCACAGACACAAGTCCTGCTCTTCTTCCTTTTCCTGATCATCTACCTGCTGACTGCGCTGGGAAACCTGCTGATCCTTGTACTCATTCACATTGACTCCAGACTCCACACACCCATGTACTTTTTCCTTAGAAACTTGTCCTTTGCTGATCTCTGTTTTTCAACTACCACAGTCCCCCAGGTGCTAGTCCACTTCCTGGTGAAGAGGAAAACCATTTCCTTTGCTGGATGCTCAACACAGATAGTAGTTTTACTTCTGGTTGGATGTACAGAGTGTGCGATTCTGGCGGTGATGTCCTATGACCGGTATGTGGCTGTCTGCAAGCCCCTGCGCTACTCCACCATCATGACACATTGGGTATGTGTCTGGATGGCCATAGGGTCCTGGGCCAGTGGAGCATTTGTGTCTCTGGTGGACACCACATTCACATTGCGTCTGCCTTACCGAGGAAACAATATCATTAACCATTTTTTTTGTGAACCTCCTGCCCTCCTGAAGCTGGCTTCAGCAGACACATACAGCACAGAAATGGCCATCTTTGCAATGGGTGTGGTAATCCTCCTGGCTCCTGTCTCCCTCATCCTTGTCTCCTACTGGAATATTATCTCCACTGTGATCCAGATACAGTCTGGGGAGGGAAGGCTCAAGGTCTTCTCCACCTGTCCCACCTCATTGTCGTTGTTCTCTTCTATGGCTCAGCAATATTTGCCTACATGACGCCAAACTCCAAGATAATGAATGAAAAGGATAAAACGATCTCTGTGTTCTACTCAGCAGTGACACCCATGCTGAACCCCATCATTTATAGTCTGAGGAACAAGGATGTCAAAGGGGCTCTCAGGAGAGTAACTGCAAAATAGTCTTTTTGGAAGTGGTGACCTCTGATCATGATGACCATTTTAGGGAAGTGGGGAGAAGAGATTTTCATACAAAATTTTCTCCATTTTCATCTCATTCCTCTACTTTTTCTTCTCTTTTCTTATATCTCTTCTAAGATCAGGTCAATAAATTTCCCATTCAAAGCAAGGCACCCTGGTAGACACAGGAAAGAAATTAAATTAAATGAAAGAAAAGGAAACAAAAAGGAAGGAATAAAAAGAGGAGAGGGAGCAAGGAAAGAAGAAAAGAAAGAAGGAAGGAAAGAAGATAGGGGAGGAAACAGTCAATTATTTCCTAGCCCATACAAGCTAATAAGGAAATCAAAACAAGTAGGCATACAATTATATGTCAAAAACAAAGAACCAATAAATAACAAAAATAACTGTCACGATATGAGAATGTATTTCTGGCAAATGAAGTCATTTCCTTTATTCTTGCATGAATTTACAAAACATTAATTTTGAACTCATATTATATATCCTAGATACAATTATGGAGCTGGGTATATACATATAAAAAATAAAGTCTCCATGAGATCATATTTCTATCATGGCCTTCAATTGTAAATTTAACAATTTCTGAAATTGGAAAGAGATTACACTTAGGGAATAACTAAATGGTAGAATTTTTCTAAGGGTATGTGCAAAGTTAGGAAAATAGTTAAATACAAGGTTGAAATGTGAGACAAAGGGCCCAGATTGAGAAATGCCTTGATTACAATACTAAAGAATTTGCCCACCATGTAACTCTAAAAAAGACAAAGATTGGAGGATTTATCAATTATGGAAAATGATGATAATGGTAAAAAAAAAAAAAAAGGAGATCTGAGACACTGTTTTAGGCCTTAGTAAGGCATTTGAACTTCATAACGTAGGCCATAGTTTTGCATAACATGATCTGAAATGGTTCCTGGGTTGGTTGTTAAAAGTAATGTTTCTCAGTACAGGGTGGGGTTTGGCAGTTGACCTCAGGAATTTCTATTTATAACAAACCCCAGGTGATTCTTAACACACTTAAAAAAGGCTATGTGCTTTTTAGATAATAGGATAGCTTTTGACATAAATGAGGTGTTTAATTATTTACTTAAGTATGACTCCTCCATTAGATTGTAAACTCCATGAGAGTAAAGAATGTGACTGTTTTGCTGATCTTCGTAATACTACTGCAGTAAAGTGCCGAGCCACTGTTGTTGCTCAAAAAAACAAGCTTTTGAAGTAATGAATAAAGCTGGAGTTTAGAAAAGAGATGTGGACTAGAGAAATAAATGTAGATGTTAACACAAATAAATGCAAGCGGAATTTGACACACCTAAGGATGTATGACAAATTTTAACCAGAAAACCAAGTCTGTGAGTGGTTTCATTAAAATGCGGGTATCTGGCCCTACAGCAGACCATAAGAGTGATGAAGATGGTCTCTCTCTCTCCCTCTCCTTCTCTCTCTCTCTGTATATACATAAATATATATGTATATATATATATGCTCTTAATGTAACTCTGTAATGAAACCCTGGCTGAGACTTGATGTTACAGAAAGATAGTAAAAAATGATCCAGGACAGAACCCTGCAGTTGTCAACGTTTCATGGTGGATGACAAGTAGCCAATCAGGCCTGGAGCAGCAAGAGTCAGAGACTCAGAAGAAAAACTCAAATAAAGACGTGCCAGGAGCACAAGAGGAGAGGCCTTTTAGAAAAGATTTCTAAATGTCTCAGAGTTGTATGCATTGATAAAAAGCTACCAAATTTGTCAATTATGTCATTATTGACTTTGGAAAAAACTATTGTAACAGAATAATGGAATCACAAAGTTTTAGACTTTCAGAAAGGGTACAGATGCATTTCTGAAAGCCAACTTTTAAGTTGAGGACTCAATGATGAAAGAGTTAACCAGGCTAAAGGAGTCGTGTAGGGGTAAGAGACAAAGAATAAATTTTTTTACACAATTTTATTGAGTATTCATACCTTTCTACTTTTCAGCTTGTCAAAACTCATTTTTTAAAATGCCACGAGAATTTTGATGGTTATTACATTGAATTTATAAGTTATTTATGAAGAATATTAATAACAAAAATCATAAATCTTTTCCCCTAGGAACATGGCATATTCCTCTATTTCTTCAGTGAAGATACACACACACTGTCATATAAGTTTCACATTGCTATTAGAGAGATTATGTTGATCCTAGATTTTATAGAGAAGAAATGATGGCACACATATAGCATAGTTCATGCTCTCAAGGAGCTTTCATTTTGGAGAGTGGAGTCGGAGAGTAATCAAGTAAACTAAGGTATAAAAAAGAAAGTTGTATGTAATACTAAATGCAATGAAGACAGTAAAACAAAGCATGTGCTAAATAAAGGCTTTTGGTTCAAATGCATGTTACTTAGATTGGTAACTTCTTTGAGAATTTAACATTTAGGGTGAGAACTAAATGTTGAGAAGTATTCATAGTAAGGCAAGCTTTGACTTGGCTAGGAGAGATCACAAACTAGGAGAACAGCTACTAATTGGCCATAAAGCAAGGACAATTTTGGACTATGCGATGGACAGCAAAGAGGTCAGTGGGGTGAGATCAGAGAGAGTGTAAGGGAGCACAGCTTCAGATGTGAGCTGAAAGGCAAACAGAAACGAGATTATGTGCATCTGTGTAGAAAAGTGACATGATCTGATTTATATGTATGAAGGTCACTCTGTGTACTAAGGAGAAAACAGATTACAGTGGGGCAAGAGTGGGAAGAGAAAGACCTATTAGGAAGATATTGTGGAGCAACAGGAAGCAGGTTATGGTGACTTATACTTGGGATACTTTGTAGGGGACACCAAGAGAAGTACACATATGTGTGACCTATTGTATAGATGAAGCCAGTGGGGTTTATTTGTGGAGGTAGTAAGGCAGAGCAAACAAGGTTCATATTTAAGTTTTTAGTTTGATCTGTTGTGTGGGTGGTGATGCTATTGATTTAGATGGAATAAAATGAGGGAAGAATAGGATATCAGGGGAATGAATCAAAATTATGTTTTGGATTAAGTTTTAAATTCCTATTAGACATGGGAAATAGTCAATTAGATATATGACTGTGGATTATGCAAGTCCTCAGGTATTTTGGACTCAAAAACATGTAGGTGATATTTAAACCTGTCTAACTAGAAATTACTCAGGAAGAGATTCTTAAGTAAGAAGAAAGGAAGGTTCAGGTTAGTACCACAGGGAACTTCCAAATTCAGAAAGGGAACATGATTCAATGAGGTGAAAATAGGGAAGAAAGAGGCAAACCAGGAGTGTGTGGTGTCTGGAAGCCAAGAGATGAAAAATTTTCAGGAGGAAGGGTATGGTCAACCGTATCAATGTTGCTGAAGGGTTGAAGGAGGAAAATACAGAAATGTCCGTTTCATTTAGCACATCAGTGATGACTTTGACAAAGAACAGGTCCATAAAAAGAGACTAGAGTTTGATCAAAAGTGGGCTAAGAGGTGAACAGATCAGCAGAAGAGAAAGTGGGCATAGACACTCTTTTATAATTTTTTCTATGAAGAGAAGCTGAAAAAATGCGACAATAACTGAAGGGAACTGGAGTGATGGAAAGGGTTCTTTATAATGGGGATTACCAGAATGTATTTGTATTCTCATAGTTGTGATCCAGGAGAGGGGAGGAAAATGATTTCAGGTGAAAGGGATTCTACAGGAGCAAAATTTTGAGAGGTCACTGAGATTCGGACCCTAAGGCTAATGGAGGTCAGCCTTTGATAGGCAGTTGTAAGGAGGGAAAACCAGAAGTGTGTGTGCAGGTGCAGGTGCTCAAGAGAGTTAAAGAGGGAAAGATGAGGGGTTTTGAGGCTGACTGCTTCTGTTCTACTGAATTGTGTGGCAAGGCATCAGCTAAGACTGAAGGTGGGAAATAGTCATTTTAACCCAAGGACTGAGACTAGGTTTGGAAAGTGTAGTCATACACCATGTTCTAAAAGGCTAGCATCAGAAAAATGCCCAAATTACAAATTAATTTACAAGTTGAATATATTCACAGTCGAATTACCAGTGGGCTTTTAAGATGTGAATGGTAGAATTGAATGTCTTCAGAAAAAGTAAAGAGAAGAAAGAAATTAGAACTGAAGAGATAGCCAAATGTAGCTTATTAGAACATTGTGTGTGATGAAAGAAGTAGAACGAATTAATGGAAAAGGAAGGATTAACTCCAGTAAGAGTGGCTTTTATCAAAAAGTCCCAAAACAGGGGGAGGCAAGGGCAATGTAACCTAAACATTTGTACCCCCATAATATGCAGAAATAAAAAAAAAGTCCCAAAACAACAAATGTTGGTGTGGATGTAGAGAGATAGGAACACTCATACACTGCTCATGGGACTGCAAACTAATACAACATCTATGGAAAGTAGAATGGAGATACCTCAAAGAACTAAAAGTAGAACTACCATTTGATCCAGCAATCACACTACTGGGTATTTACCCAAAGGAAAAAAAGACATTCCATAATAAAGACAACTGCACTCAAATGTTCAGAGCAGCACAAGTCACAATTGCAGAGACTTGGAAACAAATGCCCATCAGTACATGGGTGGATTAATAAAATGTATATGCATACCACGGAGTACTATTCAGCCACTAAAAACAATGGTGAACTAGCACCTCTTGTATTATCCTGGATGGAGCTGGATCCCATTCTTCGAAGTGAAGTATTACAAGAATGGGAAAACAAGCACTGTTCGTATTCGCCAATAAATTGGTACTAATTGATCATCATTTTTGTGTACATATGGAAGTAACATTCATTGGGTGTTGGGCAGGCGGGAGGGGGGAGGAAGGGATGGATAAATTCACACCTATGGGGTGGTGCAATGCACGTTGTCTGGGGTTTGGACATGCTTGTAGCTCTGACTCAGGTGGTGCAAAGGCAGTATGTGTAACCAAAGCATTTGTACCCTCATAATATTCTGAAATAAAAAAATAAAAAAACAATGTTGACTGTCC